GTAAAATCACACGGTGCGGAAGAAGATTGCGGAATAGAGAATGCGTCTATTGGCTGCGTTCAGCAGACTCAACAGTTTTGCAACCGTTTTATGATTGTCTGCTGAGATAGGACCATTCTTCTAGATCTAAAAGTATGATCCAATTAGCGCGAAAGAAACTTCCAACAGTTGCAAAACAAACGTTCTGCTGAACGCAGCCATTGAAGCAACCAATCAACGCTATTCAGCGCTATTCGGAATAGCGCTGATTGGTTGCTTCAATGACGCATTCTCTATTCCGCAGTCTTTTTCCGCACTGTGTGATTTCACCCTAACATTCTAATCTAGCTAGGAATCCAGCAGAAAAACAAGCATCGTGTGCGGCAGGCTTTATAGATCCCGCATAAATCGACGTCTCATCACGCCTCACAGCCACACTGCTGAATCAATAGGTCTGTTCGTGTTGCTTGCACTTTTGGCACTCGGCATCATCTTCGCTTTCTCTCTCCAAAACGCGCATGCGTCAAAAGGTGACTGACTTCACACGCCTCACGGCCACACTGCTGAATCGCTATAATGCGGGTGCGATAACGTATCATATAAAGGGGAAACTATACGTAACGTTATATTTACTGCAGTCTGTAAGACTGAAGATCTATAGTACATGTGACATGAACTATAAATTTTCACTCGCAATGAATAACTGGATGTACCCTTATGCTGGATTCACCCTGCATCCGATTTTCGTCGTACGACGCTCTGCAACCAATCAGAAAACAGAATTCCGATGAATTTTGCTTCGTATTATCGGAATCCTGTTTTCTGATTGGATGCAGACCGTCGTACGACGAAAATCAAGAATGCAAGAACCAACCAACTACAGTCGATCATTTCCCTGTAATTCGATCGTAACAGGGGAATGCTCGACTGTAGTTGGTTGGTTCTTGCATTCTGACCCGATTCGAAACCTCGGTGGAAACTAGACCAATGAAGTACGTTTCACAGTCGGTATCGTCAGCTCGATTATTGTCACAGTCGGTATTTGCGCAGCGATTGCAGGTAAATAAGTACGTGATATTACCGAAAGAAACCAAGTCTTGCGAACGTCCGCGAGAGATCAGTTTCTCACTTGGTCGCTCGGTCGTCGTTCCGATCGCGGTAGAACGTGACTTACGTGACGGCTTTTCTTCGTATATGTACATAATACCGCAGTGTACTCCGTGCGTTTTCCTTTCGTTCTCGTTCTCCGATAAGCGAGGAATATAATAACGCACTGCACGTAAAAGGCCGCGAGTCGCAGTGACGTGCCGTCGAGAATTTTTCGCGACGCGCGAATTTGTGTTCCGTCGCCAGGTCATCGGATTTGACGAGCTCCGATCGAGCCGAGGAACGATAACCTAATTTGTTCGACGATTACGTGAACTATAGACGGTTGCTTAATTCGCCTGTAGGACACACGGTGAGTAATATTTCTGCCTCGTCGGCACATTCTTCCCACGAGCTCGATGAAGCGTTTCAGAAGCGATGAGCTTCGTTTTTTCCGCGTTTCCTTTTCGCAACGTCGCTCACCTTGTCCGCGATGTTCAACGTTACGATCATTACGCGCACGAGTTCGTGCGTTAATCGCGAATGATATTTATATGTCAATTATATACGAATGTTTATCGGCATGCTCGTAATTGGTATTTTATCTGTCAATTGCGAAGGTTAATTTTTGTTCTCGGTTAACATTTTTCTCGTATATGTAATTGTTACGTAATATGTATTTTTTGCTGTTAAAGATGTATCTGAGCTATTCCAAAAATAGTACCAAATTGATGAAATTTCGGGTAACTCTTCCTTGTTATCTATAATACACTAGAAAAAAATTCAAGTAGATTCACCGAACCGTTAGAGAGTAATTATTATTTTAATTATGATGATTATAAAAATTTAATAGTAGTACTGGCCAATTAATAATTTATTTTAAGTATTAAAAATATTATTAATAGTATTCTTAATACTGAAAATAAGTAATTAATTGGCCAGTGTTAGTATTAAAGTTCTATAAGAGACATTTTCTCGAACGCAATTTTGTCGAATGTAATTAGTAATAAAAGTATTGAAGAAATAGTACCAAAAATTTAATTTTTTTTATACGTATACATCCTAAATTACTGGAACTTTTTGCAAAATTAGATTAATTTTCACAATACGATTTCAAAGAAATTATTCAATTTTGCTGTTTTTGAAATGCGTCAATCACTGGTAGACTACGTAAGTGCGGCAAAAATGATTTTTTAAAAATAAATATATTGTATTATCTACCATTTATATAAGTTATCACTAGATTTACTACACGTTTGGCGCAGTTATTTCGCAAATATTTCGAATTTGGGGGACTTTTGTCAACGATTGTATCTCAGATACATCCTTAATGATTTGGTTGAATTTTATAAGAAAAAAAGAAATCGAAGTTTGAAAAACATCTTCACCTTTTAGATATTGAAATATTCGTTCTGATTTGTAGCTTCTAAAACTTTTATCGAAAAATTCAGATGACTCACGTTGGGAAACCAGATAACTGTTTATCTGAGTCAGATCAGAACTTTATTATTCTTATCTCGTCTTTATTCTTTTATAACTTTTATCAAATTTTTTAAATTAATAGCTTCTTATAACACACACACACACACATCTGTATTTATTATTATTTATGGACATATTATAGTATAAAATATTCCGAGCAATGCAAACATCATAAAATTTTTGTAAAAGTTATTTATAAAAGGAAATTAAATAAAACATGTACATATATTATTGATCAAAGAGATAAAAGACCTATAAGACTAAGTAAGACCAACACTAGTTTTTTATATGTATAAATTTTAATTAATTGACTAAATCAATGTAAATCTTTCGATAACTTAAGAATGATGTACACAAGAATTAGTGAGGACTCCTTATAATTTCATATAATAAATTAACAATATATTTAGACAAGGCAATTAGAAGTCAGCGTCGAAATTTGAGTTGCGCTATGTGTGTCATAATATGTCATACATATTCTATTAAAACCTGATAATCTATGTGACATTCCAAAACTATTTCTAAATTTAATAAAATCAGATATTAGGTTTTATTAGAATATGACATAAATTAATAGAATATTTCTTGTTATATTAGATTGATATTGCGACGTATTTAACACATAGCGCAACTTAAATTTCGGCGCTGACTCTTAATTGCCTGTCTAAATATTGTTAATTTAGTAAATTTTTTGACTCATAGTTTTGATTAATTTTCAGTACAATAATAGTATATATTGAAAAATATAAATTCACGCGTGTCATCATTATAGTCGCTTATATGTCGTGAAAATCAAACAGTGTAACCAAAGTCAGACAATTCAAATCATAAAGATCTAGTATATTTATATACGAGATTGAATATTTTTCTAAACTTCCTCATGAATGACATAAAAAAATATATTTGCGAATTTCTCCTGGATCTCTATAATTTGAATTGTCTGATAGATCTGACTTTGGTTGCATTATTTGATTTCTACGATGACATGCGCGAATTTATAATTTAGAATATGTGGTTATTGTACTAAAGATGGTTCAAAACGTTTATATTGATTTAGTTAATAAAAATTTAATGTAATAAACGAAAAACTAGAGGAGAAGGTGGTATTATGGCCATTGTATATATTGTGGCCTTCCTTAATATCTCTGCTATTATATAGCGAATTTTAATGATTACTTATGGAATTATTAGTTAGATATTCAGTAGCTCGCCGTTACACCATGATGCTAATATTACCAATACTCAATAACCAGCACTTATTATAACGCATTTTTACTTTCAAGTATTTCGAAACGTTTCTGAGGTGCACTTTAGCATTTAATTACGCCTACTTCCTCATTTTTCTTAAACTTGAGCGTATTATCACATGAATATATGTATTTTTGAGTGTGTTATTTACTATTTAACATTTTATTTGACTGCATATATTTTGAGTTATGCAAATTTAAATAATACTATAGCATTTTGCTAATGTGGCCCTCTATGGATATTGATTACTCACGATCTCAGTTTTGAGATTTTCATATCAAAATAGTTATTTGATAATCGATTGTAGCTCTACTGTTAATCTATAGTTTATATTACGTATACTATTTTTAGTACTGAGATTTTTAGTACTGAGCTTATATGCAGAAGTTATGTGAATATATATACATTCATTTGCATACATTTTAAAATGTTTTACTTTTTTGTTAATTTTGTAACCAAATATTGTTTTCTAAATAAAACTGATATTTTAAGGCTATTTTTATGGAAGGTCACATTACCACCCATTTTTTTCTTTGAGTCATTATGCAATGTCGCCATATTTTTATTAATAATATCCTAAGTAATAAATATTTCGTAACTTTGAGTCCAGAATCGATTCAACAACATTTTAACGAATGTAATTGTCAAGTTTTAAACTTAAATATTGATTATTAACAAAGTTATTGTGTAAAATGTAACTGAGGTGCCATAATACCACCTTCTCCTCTAGAATTGATACTTACAAGCATTTTTATCTCTTTATATTTCGAAGAACCTAACCTTTTATTTCCACTTTATTTCATACTATTAATGATTTTTGTAGAATCTTATAAGAAAAAAATTGAACATTGAAATAAATTTAGCTTATATTGTTGCGTTCGAAGAACGTGTTGTTAGCTCTATTGAGCTATTTTATCGTTGCTTATTTTCTAACGAATGATAAGAATGACACAATCAATCGCACTGACAGCACATTTCCCAAACGTAGCCAAAATTTAAGCTTATGTTATTTAAATTTAATTTTTTTTACATTAATTTAACACTACAAAATTATTAATAACATGTATATATATTTTTCACTTAAATTAAAAAAAAAATAAAGCACTCGCTCCGGAAAGTCGAGAGGTCCTAGTCGAATCTTGGCTGAGATAATATTTTCCGCAATAAGTTCTTTACCGAATTAATTTAGAGGGGATTATTTCATATACTTATAGGAATGTCCGAATGTTTCGGCTCCTCATTATATTTATATTATTTAGCGTTTCAGATTGATTGTGGTTAATGTCCGAATGTTTCGGCGCAATCACAATCACTTTTTTCCTTTTCTCTCCAGGAAGAAAGAAGAGAAAGAAAGATGAACTGGTACAAAAAAAGTTCAGCCAAAAAGAACAGGTTTATAGTTTTGGTTGCCAGATTGCTAAAAAGGAGCTACGAGCGCGTGGCAATTTCTTGGATCTGCTGGGGATCAAACTCGAGTCCCCTATGGTAGACCAGAGATCTGTTCGCGTTGCTTGAAATCTCCAAAAATTGTTGATCTTAAAATGAGTTAGATATATATTAGGCGTTGAAAAGAGAGAAAACGGAGATGCTGAATGCAAAAAGTGTAAGCAACGTGAACAGACCGCAGGTAGAATCGCGTGCTGTCCACCATGTAACGCTTGTGCTCTATATCCTTGAATTCCATGTATAATACAGATGTTATAAAAAGTTATTATAAAAATTTAATTTTAAAGAAAGATCATAAAAATCATAAAAGGGAGTTAGAGAGAGAAGAATAATCTTATAAAAACATTAAACACATTATATATTTGTTTATATACTCCAAATGTAAAACAAATATCGTAATTTTCACAACAAATTATTTAAAGAAAAATTTGATACTAATGAAAGAATTTACAGATAGTGTGAGTAATTTTATAGAATTTTATGGCCAAAATACGTAAAAATAAATTAATTAAAACGAAATTTAAATATATAAATCATATAACGTTAATATGACTTTGCGTTATTATCTTAAGTTTCAAAACAAATAGTGGGAGTATTCACTTTATTATATTCGTATTGTTCATAGTTTATTGTTTTATTCTTATCCGATCAGAACCGAGCGTGTGATCGTAGAAGCTCCGGGAAAATCGCGACGCGGAATTATTTCATGCAACGGGCTCTGTACCTTTGTATTTATTGTCAATTAAAAATGATTTCATAGAAGCTTCTTTTAAGATCCGATTTTATATTCCTTAATGACTTTCCGTTTACATGATTTTCCGTTTCCTGGCGGAAGCATTAATAACACGGAAATGGAGATTAAAACAATTCATTTTGCTTGGTAATAATACGCTTGGTAACAATACGCGAGAAAAAGGAAATATTCTTTTGTAACAGAGTTTCTCTTAAGATAATTAATTTCTGAAATAATTATACATAAATAAATAAATAAATAAATACAAATATAAGAAAGCTATATGAAACTTTGCCATGAGCGTTATTCGATTTAATAATGTATATTATAAATGTATCTTAACTATTAAAATATTTATTTTAACTACAAATAATTTAACTCTTTCACTGCCAGTGGGAAGTATGCTTCCCACTTCTTTTTTATATGATTTTGCCTTGTAAATTTCACAATTTCGCAAAAATAATTGTGAAGTTTAGTTTTTCAGATAGCTAAATAGTTACGTAATATATTCTGATATGTTTTTTAACCCAATTGTTTATATGTAATTATTTATATCAAATTAAAGTCGAAAAAAGGTGATTTTTTAAAGAAAAAAATCGATTTTTTGGAAAGTATTGAGATTTAAAAATTTGACCAAATATGGCCGCCATCACCTAATAAACTAGTGAAAATTTGGATATTTTACAGTAGATTCATTTTTTTGGGTTATGTTAGAGATATAAAATAAAATGATAAAGATAATATCAAAATTCAAAATAGCTACAATATATGGCTGCCTGATAAATATCGCTTTATCGCAGAATTTATTGTTTATAAAAAAAATCATATTTGATCCGCCATATTAAATTTGCAAAATCTGACTTCAGATTCGGAATCAGTGAATCAAAAAACGTGGGTAAGCAAAGTTTCAAGAAAATCTGCTGAAAAAAATCTAATTCGACAGTGAAAAGGTTAACTATAAATAGATATGTATCGCATTTCTAATTTAAAATATCTACTTTTATCAATGATTACTCTAAAGTTAGAAATTTACAGACAAAACGGTGGAAAATCTCTGAGACACTTTATGTATAGTGCTTCACTCATCATATTATGTTAATGTATTGTAAATCATCATGTTTGTTCGAGCACAGCAGCGTAAATGCATTCACGCTTTTGAATAACGTATCGGCTTTAAAATAAGATACCATATCCATCCAAAGTATAATATTACGAGGCACCAGTATGCATTCGGGATTTTAAGCTTTCTACGTGCGACTCCACTGGCAAATATATATATCGTGTCTCTGTTACTTAACATCCGCCCAACTTTCTATTCGCGCGCCAGCACAAATGTGTGTGAGCTTGTTCGTTATTTACATTTAGATGTTATTACGAATCACATTATATGCCGCGATTCCCAGACTATTTCGTATGCATTACGTAGATTATAGTTTCTTGATGTAATATATTAAAAAAAATTTTTAAATCTCCACTGGATCTTGAAATCAAAGTATCAAGAATCTCCTGTACTTGTATTTGCAGACAATTGTATCAAATTGTTGCAACTTTATTTTCTTCTTGTTAAAAAATACGGAATCTTTCCTTTCTCAAAGATACTTAATTTAATTACTAGTAGCTATTATCTTTGAACAAAGACGTTTTTAAATGCGTGATTTTCATTCTTTGTTAGACAATGGTGTATGGATTTTAAATCATTGAAATATATTTAGATTTTGTGATGTAAAATTAAATGGCTAGCGCGAGCGTGATATGGCAGACAACACGCTGGTTTATCATGCCAGAGGTCCCTGATTCGATCCTGGTAGGAACCAAAATATTTACGCTCGTGTCTCTCGAAAAATCCATCGTTTGCAATTATTGCGTTAAAACTGTAGGTCCCATATGCTTGTGGCAATTGAATAATCAGCGCACCACAAGCATATGAGAGAGGTGTAACACAGGCCAGAGGCCTAATGTAAGAGGAAGAAGAAGTATAATTAAATAATAATAACATAATTTTTTTATGTTTAAGATATTTAACATTGCAAATATTCCGCGGAAAGGTTTGCTAATCTTCGATAATAAATCTTTTTAGTGGCATGATAATAACATAATACTTAGCAACAATTATATATAAGCGTGCCAGAAGGTTTGTTCGCATCGCGTGCTTCAATATGTTCTAATATGCTCCTATTATAGCTCTTACTCATTCCAAGCTATGGTAGGAGCATGTTAAAGCATGTTGGAGCTTGCGAACAAACCTTTAATTCACGCGATGATTTGACCTTATCGTATTGTTGTGTTATCTTTATGAATGCCTGCACAAGAAAATGATAAAATACTACGAAATATACGTTACTTCGCTATCTATACATTTTCCGAGAAACTTATCTGAATGCATCAAGGTTAATGTTATATATGTGCAGCGAAAAAAGGAAATGCATTTTAATCGTGTGTATTGTAAAAATTTATGGGCGACTGTGATATTTGATAATCCTCTATTCGATTTTTTACGGATAAAATTATAATAAATTTGCATATTTTTGCTTACTTGGCATTTTATTGTAAACATAAAATATGCTATTATTTAATATTATTTTCTCGGTGCATGTAAAAATTCCTGAATGAATTCTCCTGATTTCTCTATTTATTATAATTATATGAATCATAAAATTATAAAATTATTTATTCATGTAAATACCGAGCTATACTATTTATTTTTATATCACATTATTTTTTAATTATGTGATGGTACATGTTTGCCTAGTAATAAGAGAGTGAGTAGAGAGATTGTTATTTATTTATATAAACTAGTGACAATGTCAAAAAGAAAATTTAAGATTTATGAGAAAATACTTTTACGAGAAAGTCTTTTTACTTTTATGACTTGAAAATGATAATTTACATAGCTTTAGTATTTTAATGTATATTATCATTTGGACATAATTGTTTTGAATTCAAACTCAGTTCTTTTCAGGGGAAAATGGAGAAGAACTTGGGTTTTGCTAACGCACAACCTTCGGCTCCTCTGCCAACTGCTCCACCGTCTTACGAGGAAGCCATAGCTAACACAGGAGGAGCATCTACGCACCCTCCAGTTATTCCCTCACCGTATCCCCCAGGAAATGCGCCAATACAAATGCCTATGCCATGTACGTAATATTTTGATACAAAGTGGATTTGGCACTTTTTGATAATATAAAATTAAGTTGAAATGTGAAATTTTTAATTTCCAAGGCTTGCATAGTACAATTAAAAAATGTCTCTTATTTGTAAATTTGTGACTCAATTGCTAGCATATATTTTTTATCTATTTCTTTTATATAGAAGTTATTAATGTTAATTCTTTTTTTTTTCAATTAATGATAAAGAAAAGTAAGATGTAGGATAGAGATTAAATCTTATATAAATCTTATATAATTTCAGACAATCAACCACCAAATCAAACGACGATGCCTATGCCATCAGTTTTCCAGAGTTCGAGCCGACTAACATCGCAATCGCGTTTCAATGCCGAATCGAATTCCGTACCACGGACACAAGTGCGGGTCATTCAACAACACGTAGTGCTCGCCCTAGGGCCGAATGCAGTGAAAATGTCCTGTCCGACATGTCACGCCGATATCAAAACTACCACAATATCGGATCATCAGCCAAGTGCTCACATTTGCTGCGTCATACTCTGCTTACTTGGGTGAGTGATGAATTGCTTTGTACATATTTATAATTCGCGTTTACTGCATGGAGATATACAGGGTGTACCAGTAGAATCTGGACAATTTTCAAATTAAAATTCCCACCGAATTAGTGGTCGAGCTGGTTAAGAAGTGTTCAGAATATAACCGGAGAGTCGCGATTGCTAAAAATCTTCGCGCTGGACGTACCGTGCCCGATATAATAAAGTTCTTCGGTTACCCGAAGAATTTTATTATTTCCAAAGAATTTTATTATGTTTTTGTTCCTAATGAATCAGGCTTACTTGAATGTCGTCTAATTGCCGGCTGACGAATTATTATATAGTGGGAATTTTAATTTGAAAATTGTCCGGATTCTACTGGTACACTCTGTATATGTCGATTATATTTGACGAAGTTTTTCGTTCCTCCGATTTTGATGTATATTTATATATTTTTCTTGAATTTATTAATGTTAATTGTTTAGCAATAAAAATCTAAAGGAGGATGTTAAAAAGAGACCAATTTTTGCCCACAAAGGTGTAAGTGAAAGGAATAGGGTTTTTTATAACCGGTTTTTGACTGGAATACGATAATGTTAATAAAAAGTTCGGGATCGATAGGGAACCTTGAAAATTGACATGAATATGATATATTTAAAGAAATTTCAATATTCTTCAATAAGCGTAGTAGTATCATATCCTATTCAACGAGATACTACAGATGAAGCTGCTTTATGATTTTATACTGAACAAAAAAAAAGTGTAACGATGTCTTGGTTTTAACTATTTATGCCAATCCACCATCTTTGATTGTAATTTAATATACACTGAAGAGGATCCAATCCATAGGATCGAAACGCACTTGAATTCTGAATAGATTGAATTTAATCATATGAAGACCTTGTATTGGCTGTTTTTGTCATATTTTTCAATATTCTTGTTTACTTTTCAAGGTGACTTCCTGAATATGATAAAATTATTAAAAAAATTCGTGGCATGTGGGGAACATCTTAGAAAGTAAATAAGAATATTGAAATTTCTTAAAATATATCATGTTCATGCTTAATTTTCAAGGTGTTCCCTATCGATCCCGAATTTTTTATTAATATTATTCAGAAGATCAAAATCTATAAAAAACGCTATTCCTTTTATAATACTTACACCTTTGTAAGCAAAAATCGGCCTCTTTTTAACATCCTCCTTTATTTTTGAATATTTATTAGTTATTGAAACATAAATTATTATTCTCAGATTGATAATTATTGTAATTTGTATATATAATTTCTTACAAAATACAATTACATTTAGTTTTTATAAATTTTCTTAGAAATAGTTTTTATTATAGATTTAGTATTCTCTTTTTTTTTTCAGATGCTGCCTTTGCTCATGCCTGCCATATTGTATGAATGCTTTCATGAGTGTTCATCACTTCTGTCCAAACTGCAAAAATTACATTGGCACATGGAAAGGTTGATTTTGTTCACGCGCATACGTAAGTTCCAACCTCCCGCGTATCGAGATATTTTGCAATTCTACAAAAAGCTACTCGATATCCTTTGCTTATCGCACATAACAACGGAAAGAAAGGATTATTAAAAACATCCATGTAAGTTACATATTACATGTTTGATTCTTCAGACTTGGAAAGATTACTATGTTACAACATGCAAATGATATCAAACACAAGTCCTGGTTAATCTAACGTGATACGAATTGTAGATATTGATGAGTATTGAGAACTCTGATGAGTATTGTGAACTTTTGTATGACAAATGAATGACATGATATCACTAATATCACGGACTTTTATATAGTAATAATATACTAGATTGTTAGTGTGCGCAACATACTTTACAATTTATAATTGTAAAGCAAGAAGTGATACAAAGTGTGATTGTAAGGAAAGGATTACAGGTATATTTTGCAAAGGCAGATTATATTCTTATTTATATGCGAAAAGAATTGATATTTTTTTTCCCTTTTTTATTGCAGAGGTCTTGTGTATAAATTAATAAAAAAGGAATATTGATTAACTATTCTATGCATATCTATATGTATATATACACATATATATATATGCACACATAAAATCATCTATATATGTATATATAACATATATGTATATATAATTATATATATATAATTTTACAATTTCACGATTAAATTTATTTAAATAAAGGGTTTAACTTTATTTTGAATATTATCGTTAACAGTCTAGTATATTATACAGAAGTATTATTGCAGCTCTTAGATTTTTAATATAAAATAAGAATATATTTGCGATTTTATTGTTGGAAAGTTGGACACGAGAATTCTTTTGGACACTTTCATTGCTTTACATTAAATACAAAAATATTCATATCGATTTTCTTTATATAAGAATACTTTTTAAGTAATTATTTTAAGTAGTAATAATTGTATAAGTGCTTATCAAATTTAGTTACATTATTTTATATGATGTATATGATTGCAAACAAAATAGAGAACAGGATAAGAATGTAAACCATGAAAGCTGCCTTAGCTCGTGTCCAAAGTAATACTATCGTGTATTTTTATTTTTGTATTATATTAAATATGACATCACGAGGAATAATATTTACAAGAGAGGAATAATAATTACAAAGAGAGGAATCTAATTTTTTCTCTAGAAAACTTGATATGCGGGAGCATAAGCGTGTATATCTAAGCGTTCCTCTGCTAATTTAACCGAGTATATATTATATATAAGCGTATTATAAAAAAAGAGCATATATATTTTACGTACAATGAAAAAAGATTGCAAACATCTATTATAATAAGAGTATATGTTATTTTTTATTTTATTACAAATTATTTATGCTTATGCGTACAATATTATCGAAATAAAACTGATAAGCACTAGGGCAGCAGAAGAGAGATTTTTTTTTAGGAAGTTTCGTGTTTTACGGCATTGTAATTCAGTGTGTCCCGTGTTCTCTTTATTCCAAGTTAAATTGAGAATCCAGTTGAGAAGTAGGTACTTCTCAACTGAGAAGTAGGATAATCTAATATATTTCGCGGTGCCGAACAGAACTTTCTCGGGCTTATTTAAGTTTTAATAGTGCTATTCCATTATGTTGTATTTCAAAAGAGCCACGAGTTTTCCGACTTTTTCAATACCTCTTATGATACTTCGAAAATCCTAACAGTCTTCCATGTTTTATTGAAGAATCATCTGTCAACCTTTACTAATAGATTAATATGTGATTCAAATTTCATATTGATTATTGATAGCTTTTACACGCTTCCTTGAGAACTTTTTTATGTTTTCCCCTCTACTTATTTATCTTTGGAGGACCGGAGACCCCTTTAGGGACTCGACAGTGACGCCACCTTTTTCGCCACTCAACATTGATAAAAAAGTTCTAGCCCTTAAAATAAAAAAGTCGATCAAAAACACGCCGGTCCTCAGAAGGTTATTAACAATGTGTGCGTATATATGTATATATATGTACACACACACGCACGCACACACACAACACACACACGCACACGCATGCATATACATATATATCTCCAGATTGCTCATAAAATCAACGTTATTACGAGTACAATTTTTTCGATGTATTTTTCATTTTTTCTTACCTTCCTGTTTTTTTTCTCCATTTGCTTTATTCATTGATTATATTTATACTTAAGAATAGTCATTGGTTGTACGAAACCGCAAGTTATATTTTTTAATAGCTTAATATTCTAATTGCAAGGATAATATTATATTCTTGATAATTCCTGCCTGAGAACATTATGAATATATAATATGTCTATGATTTTATTGTTTAATTTGGCTTTAATGGTATATTTATATTAAGACTGCAGATATATTTAATGTAGATGAATTTATAATGACATAATGTTTTATCAAAATGTCAATGCATACATTTGTTGATTATAAGTTTCATATTCGAAATCCATAATAAGTCTAGATATGTAAAAAAGATTGACCTATCCATTGTTCTTATTTTATATATGACATAATTCTGCCTATATATCGACTTAAGTGGTCGAACAAACAACATTCCACAACGAGCCAATTTGACGAAGAGTTCAAAAGATATATGACAGCAGTATTTCTCTCAATCACTTAAATTTCTTATGTTATATGTTTAATCTTTTATTTTTTTAAAGTTTTATAGCTATAGAAAATAAAATATGTTTTTAAAAAATAGTATTAAATTAGTATTATATACAGTTTAATAGTATATATTAGAAGTAAGAAGTTTAGTAGTATATAACATATTAAGCTTTGAGAGAAACACACAATGAAAGTTTTTATAAAGACTTGCTATTTTTTTGAGAGATTATTTTTGATGGGTAGCATTTTATAAATTACAAGATAAACAACGCTTTGTTAATTGAGGAACACTGCTTTGTAGAAATTCATAAACTAAGAAATGAATATAGACCTGTACTTTTTATATCCATTTCTTCGTTATCTTCATATCAATAACGATTTTAACACGTTTAAACTTAATTAAATGAATAGCAATTAACTAACAACAATAGCTGTTGCACGTAATCACAGGTGAATTAATTAATTTTATGTTTGAGAGAGTACATCATGTTTAACCGACATTTACTTTATGCAGTTTAAAATTTATTCATCGAATGTCTATTTTCACTTTACAGTTTCAAAGAAACAGTCCTATAATTTTAGGTAAAATATGTATCAATAATAACGTTGAGAGAAATGATTTTATACAATTCTCACAACATTATGTATTCTACCACATTATGTATTTATGTGTTTTTATATCTTCAGGATGTATTCTATTTTTACCGATTATTTTTTTGGTATTAAATGTTGTAGTAGCTTACGTACGTTTTATTATTTGTTGCGATGACGATGCATTTGTTAAGAATATGTCTTCTATAGTGCCAGAGCAGTAAATAGCACAGTATATAATACAGTGAAAGTAAATAATTATTAACCATTAGTCTGATGTTCTTTGTTCATATATATCATTTATATACAGCGTGTCTTATATAAAGAAGCTTTTTCTTTGAAGAAATATAGCACTGGAATATAGCTGAGAATTTACAAGAAGCGTTTGGCAATGCGAAAAGTAAAAAAGTCTTACAAAGGAACACAAGATAGAATAGTAGTGGCGAAACAATTTTCTTTTTTCTTTGTTAAAGTAATTGATATTGTTCTCCAACCCTTTTACTGTAAATCCTGATCTGAATAATCAAGATTATTCAGATTAGGATATTTTTTCTTTTTCTTTTTAAATTCTATTCTCTTTTAGATTATTCTCAATTAAAAAAAGAAAGAGAAAGAGAGAAAGAAAGTACCCTTACATTTTAAGTCTGATCTTGTGTGGACTGGAACATCTCAGGGAGCTCTATTGTTCCGAACAGATCTACTTTAATCCTTGTTTCTGTAACTTCTTTTCACTTGTTTATTGATGAACTCTGATATACAATGATAGTATTTTTGTAAAGCTTCAGGTTTTTAAAATCTTTCCGTTGCTAAACATTTCTTGTCAGCAATTTTAATATAAATCTAGAAGTCGAACGCGTTCTTACAAGTCCATATGTTCTAATTATTTAATTAGATACCGTAAGTAGAAAATTAAATAATTAGAACCAGGAGAGCAATTCGATTTCCAAAGATTTATATTACATTTTTATTAGGTAATAATTTTAAATCATGATTTTGACTTTGTCGAGGATATGTGTCCTTTAGTATTAATCAGTGCAGCGTAACATATTTCTGCATTTGTTATCGCCTGAAATCTTTCATTGTCTTGATAATTCTTTTATTTACCTCATAAACAAGTATATCATTTTAAATTTAGGCACTAAGATATTAAACTAGTCTACGTATTTTGTCCTATCTACTTTTCGTTTGTTTCACAGGTTATTTACACAAATATTGTATCATACAACTTTTGTATATGAAATAATAAAATATATATTCAGTTAAGCGTTCGTTTGTGTTTGCCTGGTTAAAATAGGTACACACACATGTTCATGTTTAATTAAGAGAAAACTTAATTAACTTTTGATTTTTTAATTTTTATTTTTGCTTTTAATGCGTACATCAGTATATCGAACAAACTCGAGTGTATATATATATATATATGTATGTGTTTTCGTAATGAAAAAAGTTTTGTTTATAATTTATCGAAAAACTATGCTACATATATGAATCGATTGCTCGTCGGGAAGATATTAATTGGAGCATGAAACTTGTCCTATATATAATTAGATTTAAGTGTGCGGATAAGATACCACCGTTACACATCGTCTGTGTAATCAACGTTACCAAAAATTTTACAAATAATACCTATCGCGAAGTCTTCTTGCGTAACATTGCGAACATCAATAGACGTTATTATCAAAGAACGAGTCGCGCACTATTTGCGTGTATAATAATAGATACAAATACAATTTTGGTTTCGGGAATATAATCGTGTTGTAATCGTCGCTCACAAGGCAAGCTAGCGAATTGTCTGTTTCGGAATTAAATTACGCTTATATCATTAGGCCAGTTCCTAGAACCGAATAGACTCTAGCGCATTGTAACTATATTCCATATATACGTCTTAAAATCGAAGATCGTAATTTATCTAAATATACATATAATTTAAATGGCTGAGTACGAATCGTAATGTAATGTATATAATGAACATTCGCGAACTGCGTTTCGCGTTTGGAGATATCGGTTTCTTCGGTTCCACGGCTATGACCTATCACAACTGCTATATTTGGAAAGACAGTTCGCCGCTTCCCTTTTCATGTTGATAATACATTAGATACACATCGCGTGGCCTAACGAATATGTCTACAACACCATAGACTTCAATAATTCCTGACTGGATGGGAGATATTGCTGTTGAGCAACGGAAGAATATTCCGTATCAATCGGTTTTGTGTCATCGTAGAGTGCCGGTGCTTCGCATAAGATAGTGAAGGTTCCGGCTATTGAAGCTATCGTGAACATCCACAGAAAGAGACGGTCGAGA